ACGTATTCCCTTATAATGTTCTGAATCTTTTTGTTGTCTGTTGTGATATTTCCCCTTTCATCTCTCATTTTGTTGATTTGGAGGTGCTCTCTTCTTTCTTTTGGTTAACTAGGATAGTGGTCTGTCAATCTTGTTTATCTTTTCAAAGATCCAGCTCTTGGATTCGTTGATTCTTTGTATTGTTTTCTTTGTTTCAATTTCATTAATTTCTGCCTTGATTTTTGTTATTTCTTCTTGTTTGCTGGGTTTGGGTTTCTTTTGCTGTTGCTTCTCAAGTGTGTTGAGTTTTAATGTTAAGTCATTTATTTGTGTTCTTTCTGATTTTTTGATGTAGGCACTTAGAGCTATAAACTTCCCTCTAAGGACTGCTGTCAGCATGTCCCAGAAGTTTTGTTGTGTTGTATTTTCCTTTTCATTTAATTCCCGGAATACTTTTTATTTCTTTCTTAATTACCCTTTTGATCCATTCCTCATTCAGGAGTGTGTTGTTTAATCTCCATGTGTTCATGTGGTGATTAGGGCTTCTTCCAGTGTTGATTGTAAGCTTTATTGCATTGTGGTCTGATAGAACAGATGGAATTATTTCAATCTTTTTGTATTTGCTGAGCTTTGTTTTGTGCCCCAGTATATGGTCGATTTTGGAGAAGGTTCCATGGGGTGCTGAGTAGAAAATACATCCTTTGCTGCTTGGGTGGAATACTCAGTAGATGTCTGTTAAGTCCATTTGATATATGATAATGTTTAATACAGATGTCTCTGTGTTAACTCTCTGCCCTGTTGATCTATCTAATGGAGACAGTGGGGTATTGAAGTCCCCTACTATTAATGAGTTGGGATTAATCTGGGTCTTAAAGCCCTGTAGTATTGTTTTTATGAAGTTGGGTGCACCAGAGTTTGGTGAATATATGTTCATGATTGTAATATCTTCTTGATTCATTGTTCCTTTAATAAAAATGAAGTGGCCCTCTGTCTCTTCTGATTAGTTTTAGTTTAAAGTCTATTTTGTCAGATGTTAGAATTGCTATAGCTGCTTTTTTCTTAGTGCCATTTGCTTGCTATATTTTTTTCCATCCTTTCACTTTGAGATAGTGTCTGTCCTTGAAAGTGTGATGAGTTTCTTGCAGACAACAAAAAGATGGGTTTTGTTTCTTAATCCATTCACCTAGTCTGTGTCTTTGAGTGGAGAGTTCAGGCCGTTAATATTTAAGGTTATTAATGAAAGATGAGTATTGAATCCTGTCATT